TTTTTTCTTTTTGCTTATGTGGTGCTGAGAAATCGAATCCAGGGCCTCATGCATGCAAGGCAAGCGCTCTACCACTGAGCCACCTTCCCAGCCCAATAGGCAGAAAATTTAAAGGGACACAATTTCTCAAACATGTGGAAGGAGGCTCATCAGGAGACGCGCTGACTTATGCCCCTCTTGTAGCCAGTGTTGTAAGTAAACACTAGCTGCATTTCAAGATTGAATCCTGCCTGGGGGTTGTTCACTCTGCAGATGGCAAGTTAGTGGATGCACATGCCTCATCTGTTTTGTTTTCCATCCTAGCCCCGCCTGGCCCTGTGGAGCACAATTCGTTAGGATAGAGGAATCACAGGCTATATAGCAATCTTAAAGCATAGGAGAAATCACTTTAAGTCTCCTCCTCCTTCTTCTCCTCCTCCTCCTCTGTTGTTGTTAACCGTTTCTCCCTTGTGCTGTTTCCCCATAGTCCTTAATGCCATTACATTATTAATGTCATAAGACCTGTCTCTAAGGCTTGTAAAATCCTGCAACAGCTCCGCCCCCACCAGCCTGACGCCCTCTGCCATGAGTCACATCACTGCTTTTCATGCCTTTCATCTTCCCTTTTGTTTCAATCCTTTTCATTTTTTTCTTCCAATTTTTATTTAACCTGTTCTTCTCCCTCCTCACCTCCACTGTGTTTCTACTTCTCAGCTCCTTTTACCATAACATTCTTCCCCCACCCAACACAGTATGGCTGACCACTCTCATCCTTTGGCTCTTCTTTCCTCTGACTTTTTCTTATGGAGCCTGGCTTTTGATATCTTTGCATCTTTCTTTAGCCCATTCCCATGGGACTCAGTTCTGCCCATAGGTGCCCTGGTGAATGTGGCGCAGGGCAGCCAGCCACTGTCCTGAATCTCTGCTGTGAAGACTGCAGATGCACCTGCTGAGAACCCTCTAGTCAGACAAGGGCCTTGGGCTTACCTCCTCTCCTCTGTCCTTTCTCCCTGCATTGTGGGCAGAATGCTTTGTGTTGAAGTACTTCCCTCTACCATTCCCTTCTGGAGGACACAGTGAAGGCATTGCTGCTCGGGGCTAGGCCTAGAAAGCTCCAGTGCATTCAATCACATGAACTCCACGCCAGCCTCAGGACACAGATGTAGATAACCATGTCCTGCTGCCAAGGATTCCATGTCGATGCCACCAGGGGCCTGTGGTAACACATTTGTCCTGGCATGTGAAAAAGACTCAGTTTTATCTTTAAGGCATATATCTGTGGTTCTCTTCAAAGTGTATGTATTCAGCCAAATATACTTAGTTTACACAAAAGGTACTTTCAAATCATGAAACACAAACGTGCAGTTCTTCCCATTGACATTTCTAGTTATGTCTGGTTATTGTTCCATGAGCAGCACTTGCCTCTGCGTCTATAGCGGAGGGATAATGGTTTTCTTCACTTTCTAAGGTTGGAGAGCCTAAACACTTTACAACTTCAGACCGAAGAAGAGGCCAGAGGTGTGAAATTAAACTCTATGATGAAACAGAGCCTTCTTTTACAATGATCTGGTAATCTCCCACATCTCTTCCAAGCTGTAATATCTGCTGTTATCACTGGGTAATCATAGGAGATAAACTGCCTTAAAACTGTAGAGTGCTTAAAATCAGGTCCTTGTTAGCACAGTGAACATGTGCTTCCTAACAGAGTGGGTTTTTTTAGGTCCAACCTATAGGAAACAAGCCAAAATGTTGGAGGTTTTTCACCAAGGTGGGGCTAAGCTAAAGCACCACCCCTTGTTCAGGCTGGATTCCACATGGAAAGTGGCCTCTACCTATTGAGGCCGCTAAGCAGTTTAACCACTGTGGGGGCCCTGCTTTAATGGTCAGAAGTTTGAAGTTCTAAGACTGCATTCACTTACTTCTAGCTAGCCTGGAGTAATGAAGTGCTGCAAAAATAAACAATTAGTAGAGTAGAGGTTGTTAGAAGACTGTGTTTAAAGAAGAATTGCACTGTGTAGATGTTAAATACTCTGTCTTCTGTTTTTTTTTTTGGGGGGGGGTGTTTTATGCCAGTCCTAGTGCTTGAACTCAGGTCCTGGTCACTGTCTCTGAGCTTTTTTTGCTCAAGGCTAGCATTTTACCACTTGAACCACAGCTCTACCTCTAGCTTTTGGGTGGTTAATTGCAGACATGAGTCCCACGGACTTTCCTACCTAGGCTGGCTTGGACGTGTGATCCTCAGATCTCAGTCTCCTTAGTATCTAGGATCACAGGCGTGAGGGCACAGGTGCTTGGCTCTTTAACTTCTGTTTTTGACCATGTGGGAAATTGCAAATAACAGACACTGAGGCAGGGTTTCATTTTATTCTTTCCTTTTTTGGTGAATAATGTGTTGTGATGGACTTTCCCAATGTACTCACTTTGTATCATTTCTTCTTAAACAAATGCAGTTGGGATAATGAATCCATTCTGCTTGCACAGAGCTGGGTGCCACAAGAAACAGGTATCACGGTTCAGGGACTGTTTACAATGCTTGTCAGTTTTTTTAAAATTTTATTTTATTGTAAAGATGCTGTACAGAGGGGTTACAGTTACATGAGTAAGGTAATGAGTACATTTCTTGTCGAGCATTGTTACCCCCTCCTTTATTTTTTTCTACTATCCCTTCCCTCCCCACCTTCCCCAAATGCTTGTCATTTTTAATCACCAGTATATTAATTTTAAAAGGATTTTTCCCAAACAGTAATATTTGCCTCAGATGTAAGAATAACTTTTGACAAATTTCGAGACTGCATGACAGCAACTGTAATCTCAAAAACCATTATTACGACTAATCCAGGTAAAAAAGCGTGTGGACTATATAAAAAGTAAATATAGTTCACCATATCAAAGTAATTTTTACTGCTAAAATGTCGAAAAATATGTACATATATGTAGTCCGTCATTTGATCCTAGCTTATGAACTGACGTTTGTATCAGCCAGGACCTCCTGCAGTGCTTGCTAAAGGAGTGGGCTTTCTAAGTCAGACCTGGGGAAGTCAGAGACTTACTGCCCCGAGCTGTCAGGGTGCTCTGGGTTCAGGCAGGGTCAGCTGAGCACTGCCCAGGAGTGCAGATGTGGAATAACGCAAGCTCAAGCAGGGAGAAATACAGCACTATGTCATTTTAACATAAGGTCATGTCTATAAAACAGCTCTACCAGTGACTAAGAATTATAAAGCAAGTTTACGTTTTAAGAAAATGATTATAGGTTTACTCCTTTGAAGACAGGGACTCACTATGCATTCCAGGCTGGTCTCAAACATGTGATTATATGTAGCCCAGGCTGAGCTCAGCCTCCACAGTGCTGGAATCACAGAAATGTAGCACCATGCCTACTTAAGTTCCGTGCCAACTGCTGTATTGAAACTCGGCGGAGGCATAGACATGGTCTCTTCTCAACCAACACTTAGGATAGCAATGCTACCTTTGTTTCCCTTTCCATTGGTAGAGGGGGTTACAATGGTTTATTATTTTAATTATCTCTTTTGTACCTCGGTTCAAATTCAGGGTCTCATACTCTTGCTCAGCTTGCTTGTTCATGGCTGGTGCTCTTCTACATGAGCCATGCCTCCAATCTGGCATTTTGCTGGTTAATTTGGAGACAGAGTCTCAGTCCTGGTCTTGAACTTCTACAGGTCTCAGTTTCCTAAGTAATTAGGATTATTTCTGGCTTATTTTATCTTTCAATGATAGAAAATCTCTTCCTTGTTATTGGTTAATTCTAGAGTTATTCTAGAGTTCTCATCCTGTTAGTGGTTGATTGTAGAGTTTTTCTAGAGTTCTCATCACGTTATTAGCAGTTGAAGAGTATGTATGACTTCACATTTTACTGTTAAAGTAATTTTGGAGCCTTTGCCTTCTTGCAATTTAAGATACTCCAGAAGCTAACATCCTACTGAATTATATAAGAGAAAATAAAGAAACGAATGTTCTGGCTGATGAAATTGACAGTGTTTTTAAAGAACCTGTAAATTGTAAGTAACCCTTTAAATATCTTTTTTTTTTTTTTTTTGGTCAGTCCTAGGGCTTGAACTCTGGACTTAGGCACTGTCCCAAGCTCTTCAGCTTTTTTTTTTTTTGGGTCCGGTTGTGGAGCCTGAACTCTGGGCCTGGGTGCTGTCCCTCAGCTCTTCAGCTCAAGGCTAGCACTCTACTGCTTGAGCCACAGCGCCACTTTCGGCTTTTTTCTTTTTGCTTATGTGGTGCTGAGGAATC